TTTTATAAATCTGACACAGGCATGTTGGAAAGTGTCAGTAGAAATCATAATGGGCCCGAACAAAATGGAAGCTTCTGGGTAATATCTAGATTCTAGGGCAAAGCACCCTAATACATGCCCAGCCTCCATGTGCCACACATGATTTTGTCTGTTGTTAAGTACAGCAGGATTCCCTGTCAAATGATATTTTATCCTGACATTTCTTTCAATTTTCCTGCTTCTACTGCAACAGACAGGGACCATGAGATACATATGGGACAGCAGCTTTGATGGAAATCTCCCTAGTTACTGCAGAGTATGGATTTCTATCACTAGTCTTAGAATCTCTTTCTTGATTGGCCTAAATCTATTCTCTATATGATTGTACACAGCCAATCAGAGGCAACCAAAACTCAGAAAAGTCCCCTCACACAGGGCCTTTGCCACAAAGGCTCCTGGCTGGAGTCCAGCTGTCATCTGTTTCCAGTCTCTAACCAAGTCCTAAATATATGCTTCTCCGCAGTGCTGTCTAACATTTTCATTAAAACCAAGCCTGTATCAGTTTACCTCAAAATTTCAGGCATTATTCTTCTCATAATTATCTGATACCAGGCCTGCTCCTTTGATTCCACTACTGCCTGGTCTCTTAGGAAATTTTCCTTTCTTCTGCATCATGTTCCAATGTAGTAGTCATGTGGAAACACACTATGGTCTCCCATCCATCAGAGGAACTTTATTTCCTTGTCAATAAAATCTATAGCTGCACACTTTAGAGGGTATTGATTTTATTAGTGCTTCATAGATTAATTTTAAGACAAAGGATCTTTGTATAAATTTAAAATTACACCTATATTTTGGTGTATGTGCTGCTTCATTTTATTTAAGTATATTAAAAAATTGGCATTAAATGTAATTCTATCATTTCCTTTTTTCCTTCCAAATCCTCTCATTTAACTCTCACTTTTTACTTTTCAATTTATGGTCTCCTTTTCAATGTTTATTCTTATACAGATACATAATCTCATCTTATTTCTCTCTTTCTGTCTCTCTGTCTCTCTCTCTCTCCTACAGAAAAGCACACCCTCCTAAATATATAAATAGAAAAATAAACAATATGTGTTTTATAAGAGAAAAATCAAATTTTCCCGTACAATTCATTAAATATAGCATTTGAGAAAAATATTTACCTCTTATATCTTGTGGCTATTTATAAGTAGAGTTAAGTCATTATTTGTAAGTGATATTTTTGAGTCATTTATTTATCTCATATCATTTTGTATTTATACGAGTGTGCGTGGGTGTGTAGTGAGTATCATATTGCAGTAAATTTTAATAACAGGAAGTATGATTGTAATGCTCCTGTCTTACTCTTTTTTCAGCATAATTTCATAGACACTGGATTTCTCATGGTTCTGTACAAATGTTATGATATTTTATTCATTAGGCCTCAAAAAATAACACACATGAGGTTCTATTGGCCCACAATACATAATGTCTACATTGCTTGTGAATACTGCATTCATAATAATATTAGCACTACTTGTCTAGGTATTTTGGGCTCTCTCTAACTTATGTAGATCTTATTAATTATATGAAATTTATATTTTGTTTACATTTATATATTTTATAGTTTTTACTATTCCTAAAAATTTTCCCTCTTATTTCATGATCCTGATGGAAGGTCTCTCAATCCTGCTCATGATAATCTCAGTCTAAAGCACGAGGAAATGCTTCTCCTCAACTTGTGAGAATGCTTCATGGAAGACATGCTCATCCTACCTTGCTTTTAGTATTGTAAATCTTTTTTGTTAGTTTTCATATTCAATTACTAAATCTCAACATGTAACATTCCATTACATTTTTTATGTTTTCATTTATTAACATGTCTGCTCACCATATTTGTGTATGTCTTACTATTTCTGTACAAATCACATGATGTGTTCCCAAGTAGACATAGTAGTTATGTTTCTTGCCATAGAAACACCTACTGCTCATTTACTGCAGTAATTACCCCGAGGTCAATGTCCAGTAAATGTTCTGTGTAGTGGCATCCACATGCACATTTCCTTTCTGACTTTTGGGAAAGAACTGAAACTTTTAGGATTCTAGGTATTTCATTCTTTTAAATTCACAAAATTCCTGTTCTATATATGGCCTCATATGTTGAATATTTTCTTCTTAATAAATATGTTTTCATACATTCATATAAATTTGGTTATTTTTATCTCAATTATCTTTATTCTCCTCTTCTGCTGATACTGCACTTTCCAAGTCCCTTTACCATATTCTTTTCTTTATGAAAAAATAAGAGAATTCAATATGTCATGTGCATTTGTATATTATCCACATAACTATTTCTCAACCTCTTACTGTTCACTAATCAGTCCACTTTCCATTTCATTATCTCCTCATTATTTATTATTGTTACATATATACACATCGAAGTACATATATATTAATATGTAAACATAACATAATAAATCCATTTGTTGTTCCTAGCTCTACAATATTATATGAAAATGATGACAAAAATCGTAATTCAATTTGGCATCATGTTTGATGAAATGCTGGTAAGGGCCTCTCATTCCACAGACCCACTAGCCCTGTGATTAGTGCTGATTTAATATATTGAGCATGATTTACCTGTTTTAAGCAGGACTTGGGTTCAGTTATGGAGATATTAGTTTTTGTAAGATCAATGAGCCAGTAGTGCACCTTTAGATACATCTAGACATTCTGTCATTGTCCTTAAAACGTCCCATAACTAAATTGGACAATTTTATTCTTTCCTTTCTTTATAGCTTTCTTGTTGCCATACTGGTCTCTGAAAGATAATCTTCAGGTGTCTGAGTTTTATGTAATTTCTGTTCCAATATCTATAGATCCATAACAAAAACACAGTGTTTCACCCAGAAGGATTTAACATCCACTTATTTGAAGCAACCATGAGCAGTAGTAATAGACTATATTCTTAGTAGTCTCTTCAACTCCCTCATCAACACTTTGAAAGGAGTTTCTCCTGACTCCCTCTGATGTTCCTCTTAGGTAGTCAAGGCCATTGGTGGGCTGATTATCTTCCAAAGTGTGTGTAATTTTCTGTAAACAATGCCCATAATTAATATTCATTAGATAATTTGGAGTGAATATAAAATAATGATTCCTTGTCATTTTTGAACATCTTCAGGATTTCTATTTATTTATTTTGTAAATTTTCTTCTTTAATCCTCATAGAACTTCTTTTCAGATATTGCACTATTCAGGGGTTTAGTTATGTAGTTCACAGATTTATCTTTTAAAAATTTAACTTCTTAGAGTATTTTATACTATCTGAGCGGTGAACTCATTCAATGTGATGTTGAAAATATTGAATTCCCTTGATTGAGCTATCTTCTTTACTTAGTTATGCCAACACCTGTGATGGGTTTCGATTTTGATTTCATTCTTTTGTCTGTTATTGTGTGTTGTTTGCTGTTTCATAATTTATCATTTTATTAGGATCTGTGATCCATAAGAGACATTATACAGGGAAATTTATGTAATAGAGGGAAGGTTTTGAAGACACAGGTGGTAATATCCTGCAGAATAAGGGGCTTACATGGAGACTGCCATGTCTTCTTGGGCTCCTCCCACACCTTACCTGATTGACAAGTATTGTTTCTGCAAAGTCCTGTGTTTGTGTCACCATACTTGTTTGAGTTTATAGTACATTTTACAAAATGCATATTTTGTGTTAATTGCAATATTTCCTCTTCTTTTAGTCATTTCTGCCTCCAACTTAGACTATTTCATTAATACTGCATTATCTTATTCATAATGTATTTTCTTTGGTAAGTTTTCATATTTAGGTATGTGTTAGTATATGAGAAATTTAGATGGATTTTGTTGTCTCATGAGTGAGTAATTTAATTTTCTTGTTTTATAAAGTTGTCTCAATAGTTTTGAAAATTACTAGGTCTTTTGACAATATCAGATATTTTTGAGAATTTATTGTGTCTTACACACACACACACAAACACACACACACACACACACACACACACACACACACAAACACACACAACACCATTTTTATGTCAGTACTGGTCTGCCAGTGTAACATGCTGCTGAGCTCTGGGAGTAATGATTGATTCTGTGTCAACTAAAGAAAGAAGATCTTCATGGAGGAGGTGATCTGGTATTGTCCTTCCCTCCATACATTTATACACATGTGGCAGAACCCTAATACACCAATGAGCATATAAACATATATATTTATTTTTTTCATTTTGGACCACCTGTTTTCATTTTACTTATCTTTGTTTAACCATATCCAAATGACTTCATGACAACGCACTTTTCCAAAGTTTTGAAAATTTATTTTTATATTTGTATTATGTGTCAATGTTGGCTATCTTCTGAAAGTTCCTTATTGATTTGGGATCTTCTTCTGTATTTATGTTTCTCTTATTGGTTGATGAATAAAATACCGCTCAGCCAATGAGGTAGGACAGAGAGGGGACTAGGCGACAAGGAGAAATCTGTGAAATGTAGGCAGGAGCCTGACAGAGTTGTCAGGCTACTAAGGAGTAACAGCATGCTAGGGTTTTACTGGGTAATCCATAGCCTTATGGCAATATATAGATTGATAGAAGTGTTAATAAACAAGGAAATACTAGCCAATAAGAAGCTCTAGCCATCGGCCCACATTTCAAAATTAAAATACAGTCAGTATGTTTATTTGGGCCTGAGAATGGCACTGGTGCAACTTTTAAATATACATGCATGTTATTTGTAATCTTAAATATATTTTTTTTAGCAATGAGAATACTCACCTTCATGTCTTTCTTCTTTGAGCCTTAATTTATGTTGTTTACCTCTGTCACAGATTCTGACCATTCTGCTTAGTGTGAGGACAACTCAAGCAGTAAAGCCGTGCTTCCTCTCTGCATGCCGAGAAGCTGACACTGAAGGAGACTACTTCTCTAAGTTATGGTATTGTAAAAGCACTTGCTTCTTCATTTTTCATTTTGTATTGCAATTGCTCATTTAACAATTTGATTGGACCTTATATTTTTATATATTATATTCTGGAATTTGCTTATAACTAGACCTAAGTAGTGTTTGAATACTCAGTGCTTTACTTTTCACAAGGTTATGTGCTTTCAGAACAACTGTAATAATCTTGATTGCTTTTGACATCAAACATCTAAGAACCCGAAATGTGTAGTAGTTATTTACCACAATAACTGTTTAGACAAAACCTTCCTGGAAATGTGAAATGGAGATGAGAAGGGTGAATATTCTTGATTATCACTGCCTTTTAACCATCTGCACATTTGCTACTTTCATATATAATTCATTTTATCTTCTATATGCTGGAGGGTTTCTATTTGATTATTAATTAACATTATTTAGAATTTATTGTCATTGGCCATGTAGATTTATATTTTTCTTCCCTTTTACAGTTTTAACTGTTTTATTACCAAATATTCCTCAGGAAAGTTTCTGAAAGTTAAGTATTAGCACCAACTTTTTAAATTATTGCCAGTATTCCCAAAGAAAATTTTCTTGCATAGTCAGGAAAGATACAGAGCAACAAAACTAAGAACTTTGAAGGAGATAAAGAATAGATGAACCTTCATTACTCTCCCCAACCTTGACTGTGAGATAAGATTTCATTTGTGGAATGATGAATAATACAGGAATGGATAGGAGCCAAGAACAACTCATTTTGTAGTGTTACACATCTTGCATTCAGTACACTGTGCTCCTCTGCTAATGAAGTAAATGAGCAAATGATGACTCCAAAGGAAAAGTGGTAGAAATCATGGAGTTTACTATGTAAATTCCTAGGACTGTCAGCAATGCTTGTTTACATTTACATAGTAATGTTTGAATGAAATTACAAAAATAGGATGATAAACAACTGCGCAATTCTCTTACTCTTAACACCTTGATTTTGTAAAAACTAAAATAACATGAAAATTTTACTTAAATTAGATTCTAATTAGTTTGATCTCCTTTCACATGTACAGAGAATTACCTCAAACCAGAGATGCTAATTTGATGCTAATGTTAAAGTGAAAGCTAGTGTAACCTACATGATTATCTACCATATCACACACAGCTGAACGATATTTTCCTTCTCAGGAGACTAACACACCACCTTAGAACTCTTCCTTTATCTTTCCATGTTCCAATTCAGTTTATGTATGGACATTGTTTTAAAATTTGAAGTTTTAATATAATTTCATAATTTCTCTCTTTCATTTCTTGTCTCCTAATCCTGCCATATAATCTTATTGAATTTGAAATTCATGATGTCTCCTTCATTATTTATACACACACACTCACACCACTTCTAAATAGACAAATAATCAATTATAAGTTTTATGTGAATGAAAAGTTAATTTTCATGTGGTTTCCACTTATCCTAGATCTTTTGAGAAACCTTTTACCTAATATGCATTTTTGGCATTTGTAATATGAGTTAAATGATAAGTATATGATAATTTTGAAACCACAACCTCTCTCAAATAATTTTGTATTTCTATGAGTGTGTGTGTGTGTGTGTGTGTGTGTGTGTGGGTGTGTGTGTGTGTTGTGTGTGTGTGTGTGTACATTGTCGCATTATAGTAAGTTCTGCAAACAAGAAATGTAACTGGAATTCCGTGAATTTGTTCTTATTTTCAGTACAACTTCATCAATACCAGATTTACTCTGGTTTTATACATATTTTCCAGTTGTGTTGATCATTAGGACAAAGGAATGGCACATATGGGAACCTCAATATGTACTACATCCAATCTGTACATTACTTGTGAACATGATGTTTATATTAATATCAACACAATTTTCTAGTAAATTAGTATTTATTAATAATCATTGTTTATCTTATTAATCATATGAAAATGATTTATTCCTTGTATATATATTATAATTGCTATTTGTTCTTAAACACGTTGCTTTTCATTCTATGATATTGACAAATGACACATCAACCTACTTATTATGACCTCAGACACAGGCACTGAGGACGCCTTCTGTGCCTTCTCCTCAGAAGCTTTTGCTGAATACACAGACACCACATCTTGCTGGTTGTTTTGTAATTTGAGGGCATATCTTCCTTTTATATTTCACTATTACTTTCATGTTTGTAAAACTCAATTAAAGTTTTTGTTTCTGTGCATTAGCACTATTACTTACCTAAGTTTTAAGTCCATACACTTTGTACATGTCTTAATCTTTCTGTAAAAATCACATGTTCTTTCCACTTATGTCGTTTATATTTCTGGACAGAGAAACACCTGCTGTTCATTTTCTCCAGTAACTTTCTTGAGCACAGTGTCCAGTAAATGTTCTAAGAAGTGTCCTGACTTGAGTCTATTTTGAATCTTTTTGAATCTTTGTAATTACTGAGAAAGCACTCTACATTTTTGATTATAGGTATTACCTTCCATTTAATTTCATGAAATTGCAGCTGCACACCAGATCTGTTTTGTCGTTCTGAATCATGATTAATCTATATTAATAAATATAATTTCATACATTGTACAATGAGTTTTGTTCTTTTAATCCCAATTCTTCATCACATCCTGATCTGCTGAAACCATACTTTCTAAGTCCCTTACTATATTTTTAAGAATTAAGTACTTCATAGAAGTCTAGTGTATCTAGATAATTTTCACATCTCTGTACCTACAACCCTTTCTTTGAATTCCTCATTACTCTTCAATATTCACGTCCTCTTCATTTTTATTGTTCATTATACAAAACACACATACCCAGACACACACACAATCACAATCATATATAAACAGGATCTGTTGAATCCCATTATTGTTCTTGGGTCAATAATATTCTTTGGTTATAAGGATAGATTTTGGAATACAGTTATTGATTATAATGATTTTAAGAAAGTAGTGTTAATTTCATCTAAGTTATATGGAGTCATCCCTCACTTGACCTTTGCTGTTTTACATTTTGAGCATGATTTTTTTTTCATGTGAATGCCTCAGGTAGCTATTAGCAGTGAGCGAGGTATAAGATCCACTAATTTCTCTTCAATGATATCTTGCCATGCTAGTCTTTCAATGGCATCATAACTAGGCTGGACACTTCATCACTTTCCTCCCTCACCTGCTTTCCTAACACTTCCCTGGTCTCTGAAAGGATGTTTCTCAGTGATAAAGTTTGATGTATTCAAGTTCAATTTGTCCCTGATCCAAATAAATGCATTGGTATCTGCAGTGGGGATTTACATGTCTCTTCTTGGAATCAACCAAGTGTGATAGTATAGACTGTACTCCTGTGGTAGAACCTTGGACTCTACTTGCAAACAACTCAAAAGTAGATTGCTTCTGCCTGTTTCTAGAGGTATTTTGACATTACATATATTCTCCTGGTGGGTACATTATCTCTCCAAACTTTTTTTAGTTTCAATTAAATACATTCACATATATTAAATTTATATCTAATCTCTGGGGGTTATAAAATAATAATTTCCTCATTATGTTTATCATTTTTTGTGTTTCTTTTTATTCAATTTACTCCCTGTGTCCTCATGGAACTGATTTGTGGAAATGTTTATTCAAGTACTATTTTTGTAGTTCTGATTGTCCTTAAATTGAGAATAGTAAGATAATTTGTATTTTGTAGTCTACATTAGACATTTGTGATCTAATATGGAGTGATTTGACTCTTGCTTAAGGCCATACCTGGACAGTCAGGTATGACTGATATTGTGCTGATAATTCTACTTTTCCCCTTGGGATTTCCCCCAAAATCTGTTTCATAGAACTATCATCTAAATCATATAACTACTTTGCCATGGATTGTTTTATGCAAGTCTGACAAGAGTAAAAATGCTGTATAGATGGGTTAGAGTGCACATTATATGGATTCTGAAGTTAGAGGGCACCATCTTTTCACCTATATAAAACCTATAGTAACAGCAGGGGAAGGGAAATCTGATAAACCATTGGGTTGGAGAACAATCATATTGAAGATGAATACCCCAAAATTGTAGTTTTGTTTGGAACTGACCTGGATTTTGTTGGTGATAGAGGAAAGAGACAAGTAACTGAAGATAAATTGTACAAATTATCTCTATGCTACAGAGTAAATTTTTTGCCCTTTGATTTGTCTTATAAGAGAGTAGGAGGTTTATTTAAACAGGTGTGGACAATAGAGAGTGTGGTGAAGGATATCAGTAAGATGAGGTCATCTGTATAATCACAATGATTTGAGAAATCACAGGATAACAGTCTTTTTTTCCTTGGTGACAGGTATTCTTCATATCTGTATGACTGATTTCTACCTGGGAATGCTGTAACAGTGACCAAAGTAATTGCAAGCATCTACATAGGAATCCTGGCTCCTTCAGTGTTTGAAGAGAAATGACTCTCATGATGAGATTCAGCTCTGAGAGATACTTCTGATATAAGGTAAGAACCATAGCAAAAATAGTGTGAGGCTGACATTTTAGCAATGACTCCCGATACAACAGGTGTATTGGATAAAAGAAAAGAAATGCAAATATCAGTTAGTATTCTTTATACTGATTTAGGCCAAGAGCTAATAGGGCACATTTTATTCCAATATTATAGAGCATCCTTAGCAATGCAAAGCTGGAACCTGATGGTGTTACGTATCAAGGAGTTAGGTGTCTATGGTAATGATCATCAAATATTATTCAATACTGAAATTTCTAGAGTTGCAGAAAAACTTTCATCTGACCTATTATTTATTATTTTTTGCAGTGACATATATGTAATTATGTATAATTAATGGAAACTGCTGAATCCTTCAGCATTTGTATATTCCTCAGCTAGAGCATACATGCATGTGTTTAGGGCGGTATTCTTTGTCTCATCTGTCCCATTAAAGGGTTCACCCTTGAGAAGTCTGCTTCATTGAAATTGTAGCCTCTATCATTACAGGTAGCTCTTCAGCTAGCAGTTAGATCCTTGAGTTTCTCCTATCTACTTTTGCATTTCAAGTTGAAGTGTCCTTTTACTTTTTATTAATCTCTATGTGTTCTCATCTTGAGATAGAAATGGTGTGCCTTTACAGGCACAGATAGAGGACCCTTTCTCACAGTAGACATACTATTCCTCTGTATCTTATGGTAGTTCTGCTACCTATTCCACAATATTATGTGGATTTTGGTTCTTTTTTATTCATCAGGTTTATGTGGCATGGCAGAGTCAGTTGCACTTTGACCAGTGGATTATTTTTATTGTATCTTTCTATTAGAAAATGAAACTCTTTGGCTGAGGGTGAATGTTACACTATCTGTGTGTAAAAGGATAGGTATTTTAAAAGTATATAGAAATTTTACTACCTTAAATACTTAAGTATGTAGGTTCTTTTCGAATATCCATTATTTCAGTGTTTATGGATATTTGGCCAGGTTTACACTGTTTGGCATAATTTGTCCCTTGGTGATGATATAAGTCTTCTCCATTGACCAGAAATATCACAAGCAATTCACTTGTGTATTTGTAGTGCCAGGCCTCTGATAATCCAGTAAAAGCTATGATTTAGGAAATGATGATGCTTTAGGAAGTTTAGGAAAATCATGAATTTCACATAACTTCTGCAGTAATGTTATGCCAGTGGTCACATTAGGATTCCATGGTGGTAAGGAGTAGCCCAAATATAACATGAATAACATTCTAGATTCTCTCTACCATGTAAATAGTGTAAGAAATTCCAAAATCAAAATTATGTGAAAGTATAGTACATGTGAGTATTTAGAGAGAAGCTTGGCTCACATGTGGTGTGGAATGTAGTAGAGACTGTTATGTGCTACTCATGTTCCTTATGTCTTAGTGGCTCACTCTAAGCAACATAGACACTTTCCTACATTTTAATGTTTCAGAAAAACAAATTGAAACTTCAGACATCACTCAGAGATATGGTAAAACAATTCTGGAGATTAACACAAAATGGCCACCCCTATGGTCTTTTAATTAAATACAATTGTCTGCATTATGGCCCTGTAATTATCCTCAATGATAAATCTTATTGACGTTGAAATATATTCAACGGGTTACTTTTTCTTTTAAGATCAATTATGTCTGTGTGGGAATTTGCTTCAGGCAGAAACACTCTTTTAATTATGTCTACCAGATTTTTTCCAGAATGTAGAAGTAAACATCCAGGGATAGTGGTGAATTTGCAATTCATTACATGATGGTCTTTGCCAGATGTATGAATATAGTTTGCCATCAAAGAAATATTATTTGGTGAATGTTAGTGAGAATTATTCTCACATTGGCCACTGGTAGTAGGTATTTGCTGAACATGACAGTAGAATTGCACATATGAATTCCTAGTACTCATAACTGAATGCACAAGACTTGCTTGTCCCAGGTCAAGGTAGCAAAATCTCAGCAAAAGTAGTGGAGGACCTCATGATATCTCACTCATATTTTAGTAGCTACTGGTATTTATTTGTTTATGGAGACAGGACAGTTAGTTTTCCGCAGGGGCTTTTGCTCTCAGAAGTTATTCATGATCCCCTGGTTTTCTGCACATCTGTGTATAAACAGGCAACCCTAAATGGGTATTTAAAGCTTTTCAATACGGAGCTCCACAGCTCCTGTTTTAGTTCACCCTAACCCTAATCTTCCAATAATCATGATCTCCCTACCACTAAGTAGTTAACTAGGTTTCCAATACTAAGCATTATATTCCTCATGTTGTGCATGTGATGGGTATATTTGAGAGCTGTTGGCTATATCCAGGTATGTGTGTCAATATTGCACCCTTAGGGCTAATTTGCTCTGCTGCTCATTAATGTTGTTTATAAATATCACATCTGCTTAAGAGTGCTGATTGCATTCCTCTGTTGGATGCATGCACAGTCCTGATACAAATATACAAAACACCCATACCAAAATTCTTAGTCAATGTTGAGTCAAATGTGGGAGAAAATGTATAAGAGCTAGATTTGTCAAGGATTTTGGAATGGTATTGTGTCTTTTAGTAACATAAGATGTCCTGCCAATAGAGTCTCAGCAACATGACTGGCCAAAAATAATCTGAATAAATGTGACACAAATTAACTTACCAAAATGGACAAATAGTAGTCCAGAAGTACTCAACATGACACTAAGTTCTATATGTAACTGAGGAAATCTAGAAAAGGCAGATGTCACCCAACTCCCACCTGCCCACTCTGGGAAATCCCACCTCGGGGTCTACAGGCAGACTGAATTGGTCCCTGAAGACCCAGGGACCTGACTCTGCTGAGATCGATGGACTATTCTGTCCCCAGGCAGTGGAGAGTGCAGAGAATGCTGAGGTGAGCTGCTTTGGCCCCTGACTTGGGCCCAACTTCTGCCTGCCCACTCTGGAACTCCTGCTCAAGGGTCTTCAGATGGGACAATTCGACCCCTGAGGACCAAGCAACCCAGAATCTGCTGACATCTCTGCCCCCGGTGTGCTCTGGCCCACCTGGAGAGCAAGTGCTTCCAACCACCTGCACTCACCTTGAGACCATCAGAGTATTGGAGCTAATTGCACCCACCTGAAGAGAACACCATACCCATACACACTAGGAAAGGAATTGACACAACCTGTACCCACTGGAAGAAGAGATGGGAAGGTGAAAATATAAGAACACATCCAACAACAGGAAAACCAATATGACACCACAAGCATCTAGGGACTCTACACCAGCAAGACATGAACATCCCAACATAGAAGAATCAGAAGAGAGAAACCTTAAAAACAATTTCATGCAGATGATAGAGACACTAAGAGAGGAAATCAAAAATCCTTCAGAGAAATGGAGGAAAAGATGAACCAAAATATGCAAGAAATCAAGGAAAGCCAAGAAAATACAATTAAACAGCTGAAGGATACAGTTCCAGACCTGAAAACTGAAAAAGAGACAATAAAGAAAACACAATCTGAGGGAATGATGAAATGGAAAAGCTGAGTAAATAATCAGGAAACACAGATGCAGGCATACCCAACAGAATACAAGAGATGGAAGACAGAATGTCAGATGCTGAAGGCACACCTATCAGAATTACACTGGACTTTTCCATGGAAATTCTGAAAGCCAGAAAGACCTGTATTGATACTCTACCAACTCTGAGAGAACACTGACACCAGCCCAGACTACTATACCCAGCAAAGCTTTCAATCACTATAAATGGAGAAAACAAGATATTCCATGAAATAAACCAGATTTAAACAATATGTAACCACTAATCCAGCCCTACAGAAAGTACTCTAAGGAAAACTCCAACCTAAGGAAATTAACTGCACTCACATAAACATAGGCAATAAATAATCCCACTTTTCAAAAACACAGAAAAAAGCAGGGTATATCCCCATACCATACCAGTACAAACAACAAATCAAAAAAAAATAAACACTCAATGGACCTTCATTTCCCTCAATATTAATGGACTTAACTTGCCACAGGCTAACAGATTGGCTATGAAGACAGAAACCATCCTTTTGTTGCATACAAGAAATTCACCTTGAATTTAAAGACAGACATTCCTCAAAGTAAAGGGTTGGGATAAGATATTCCAATCAAATGGACCCAAGAAATGAGCTGGGATAGCAATCCTATTATCTAACAGGTTAGACTTCAAACTAAAATCAATCAAAAGACATAAAGAAAGTCATTTCATATTCATTACTGTAAAAATCCATCAGGAAGAAGTCTCAATTCTAAACATCTATGCCCCACAGACATAGCAAGCACATTTCATAAAAGAAACAATATTAAAACTCAAATCACAAATAAGACCTCACACAGTTATAGTTGGAGACTTTAACACCCCACTCTCACCACTGGACAGGACCACCAGACAGAAACATAACAAAGAGACAAAGGAAATAACACAAATTATGACCCAATTGGTATTAACATATATCAATAGAACTTTCCATCCAAACACAAAAGAATATACCTTCTTTTCAGCATCATATGGAAGCTTCTTAAAAATTGGCCACATTCTCGGCAACATAGTAAACCTCAACAGGTACAAAAAATTGGAATAATCCCCTATGTCTTATCAGACCACCATGCTTTAAAGTTAGAAATCAAATACAAAACAAATTGCAGAAAACCTACCAACTCATGGAAATTGAACAACATGCAATTGCACCATTCCTGGGTCAAGAAAGAAATAAAGAGAGAAATCAAAGACTTCCTAGATTCAAAGAAAATGAAGACAGAACATACCCAAACTTATGGGACACTTTGAAAGCAGTATTAAGAGTTAAGTTCATAGCTCTAAGTGCTCACATGAAGAAACCAGAGAATAGTCACACCAGAGAGTTGACATCACTGCTGAAAGCTCTAGAACAAATGGAAGCAAATTCACTCTACAGGAGTAGACACCAGGAAATAATCAAACTGAGGGTAGAAATTAATAAAGTCGAAAAAAAGAAATCAAGTCAAAGTATCAATGTAACATAGAATTGGTTCTTCAAGAAAATCAACAAGATAGACAAATCATTATCCAAGCTAACCAAAAGGCAGAGAGAGAACATGCAAATTAACAAAATCAGAAATGAAAAGGGGGACATAACAACAGACACTGAAAAAATCCAGAGAATCCTCAGGTCAAACTTTGAAAACCTGTACTCCACAGAATTGGAAAATTTAAAGGAACTGGACAATTTTCTGGACAGTTATCACTTACCAAATTGAATCAAGAACAGATAAGCAACTTAAACAGACCTATAACCTCAAAGGAAATAGAAGAAGTCATCAAAAGTCTCCCAACCACAAAAAGCCTGGGGCCAGATGGATTCACTGCAGAATTCTACTAGAAATTCAAAGAAGAGCTAAGGCCAATACTCCTCAAATTTTTCCACACAATAGAAGCAGAAGGTTTGCTGCCAAACTCTTTTACGAGATTTCAAAAACCTTGATACCCAAGCCACACAAAGACACAACTAAGAAAGTGAACTACAGACCAATATCCCTCATGAACATTGATGCAAAAATTCTCAATAAAATACTGGCAAATCAATTACAAGTGCGCATTGGATAAATCATCCATCATGATCAAGTAGGCTTCATCCCAAGGATGCAAGGATGGTTCAATATATGAAAATCTATCAATGTAATCCACCATATAAACAGTTTGAGTGAAAAAAACACGTGATCATCTCACTAGAAGCCTAAAAAGCCTGTGACAAAATCCAACACCCCTTCATGATAAAGGTCTTGGAGAAATCAGGGATAACAGGAACAAACCTCAACATAATAAAATAAATATGCAGCAAGCCAATCGCCAACATCTAATTAAATGGAGAGAAACTCAATGCGAAATCAGGAACAAGACAAGGCTGTCAACTCTCTCTATATCTCTTCAGTATTGTCCTTGAAGTTCTAGCTAGAATCTAAGACAACAAAAGGATATCAAGGGAATACAAATTTGAAAGGAGGAAGTCAAACTTTCACTATTTGCAGATGATTTGATAGTTTACATTAGTGACCCGAAAAACTCTACCAGGGAACTCCTACAGCTGATAAACACCTTCAGTAAAGTGCCAGGATACAAGATTAACTCAAAAAAATCTGTAGCCTTACTATATACCAATGACACATTGGTGGAGAAAGAAATCATAGAAACATTGCCTTTACAATTGCCATAAACAACATAAAATACCTTGGGGTAACACTAACCAAAAAAGTGAAAAACCTGTACTGTAAGAATTTTGAATCTCTAAAGAAAGAAATTAAAGAAGATACCAGAAAATGCAAAGTTCTCCCATGCTCTTGGATAGGTTGGATCAACACAGTAAAAATGGCCATTTTGCCAAATCAACCTACAGATTCAATGCAATCCACATCAAATCCCCAACGCAATTCTTCACAGACCTTGAAAGAACAGACCTTCTCAACTTTATATGGAGAAACCAAAGACCCAAGATAGCCAAAACAGCCCTGTACAATAAAGGAACTTCCAGAGGCATCACCATACCTGACTTGAAGCACTATTATACAGCCATAGTCATGAAAACAGCTTTGTTTTCATAAAATAGATAGGTAGACCAATGGAACATAGTTGAAAACCATGATATTAACCTACACATCTATGAACACCTCTGTTTTGACAAACAAACCAAATTTATATGAAGTAACAAAGAGAACATCTTCAATAAATGGTGCTGTCATAACTGTTTGCAGACATGTAGAAGACTGTAGATAGACCCAAGCCTTTCACCTTGCACAAAACTTAAGTCAAAATGGATCAAAGACCTCAACATAAATCCAGGTATGCTGAACCTTTTTTAGAAGACAAAGTGGGAAATACCCTTGAATTAATTGGTACAGGAGACTGCTTCCTGAACATTACACCAGTAGCACAGACACTGAGATCAACAATTGATAAATTGGACCTCTGGAAACTGAGAAGCTTCTGTAAAGCAAACGACCCATTCAGCAAGACAAAATGGCAGACCACATACTGGGAAAAGATATTCACCAACCCCACATCTGACAGAGGGCTGATCTCCAAAATATACAAAGAACTCAAGAAGCTAGTCTCCAAAACACCAAACAATCCAATTAAAAAGTGGGGTACAGAACTAAATAGACAATTCTCAATAGAGGAATCTAAAATGGCTGAAAGACACATAAGAGTGTTTGACATCCTTAGCCATCAGGGAAATGCAGATCAAAACAACTCTGAGATACCATCTTACTCTTGCTGGAATGGGCAAAATCAAAAACACCAATGACTTCATGCTGGAGAGGATGTGGAGAAAGGGGAACAGTTCTCCACTGCTGCTGGGAGTGCCAACTTGTACAGCCACTTTGGAAATCAGAATGACGACTCCCAAGAAAATGGGAATCAGTTTACCACAAGATCCAGCAATTCCACTCTTAGGCATATACCCAAAAGAAAAAAATCATACAACAATTACATATGTTTAACGATGTTCATAGCAGCCCTATTTGTAATAGCCCGAAACTAGAAACAGCGTAGATGCCCCTCAACTGAAGAATGGATAGAGAAAATGTGGTACATTTACACGATGAATTACTACTCAGTGGAAAAAAATGAAATCTTGAAATTTGCAGGAAAATGGATGGATCTAGAAGAAACCATTCTGAGGTAACCCAGTCACAAAAAGACAAAGGTGGTATGTATTCACTCATATGAGGATTTTAGACATAGAGTAAAGGATTACCAGCCAAAATCCACACTGCCAGGGAAGCTAGTAAACATGCAGTACCCTAAGAAAGACACACATGGTCCCTTGGATAAGGGGAAAGGGTCAAGATCCCCTGAACAAATTGGGAGCACCTGAAGAGGCGGCAGGGAGCTAGGAGAATGAGAAGGAAAGAAGAGGAGGATGCAGAGGTCATGAGGGAGCAGAAAGTTTGAGTCCGCGGAAGAATAGAAGATAACAAGAAGGGAGATACCATAATAGAGGGAGACATTTGAGGTTTACAGAGAAATCAGGCACTAGGGAAATGTCTGGAGATCTACAAAGATGACACCAGCTAACAATCTAAGCAACAGAGGAGAGTCTTCCTTAAATGCCCTCCCCTGATAATGAGATTGATGAATGACTTCTATGCCACCCAATAGAACTCATCCAGCAGCTGGTAGTAGTAGAAGCAGACATCCACAACTATTCACCGAACTGAAATGGAACCCAGATGTAGAGAGGGACGAGTGAAGAGCAAA